CCGCCAGCCTCCTGCCCAGGAGGGAAGCGCAGCCCGGGGTCCGCGTCTGTGCCGCGGGTTTAATGATCCGTGCACGGGGCAAGCTCGGCGCGAACCTTCCAGCTGCGCGTCAGTACTTGAATGTATCGAAATTGTCCACATTCAATGTTCGCAAGTATATATCGCTCATAAAAATTGTGGTTTACAGACCTACATCCAATGTATATGTGTGTGTTTGTGTATATACATGCAAGGGGGGGGGTGTGTATGTATATAGATACACACACAAACGTGTATATATATGTTTTCTCTCAATACTTGAAACTTAGCCACTGTGCTTGAATTAAAAAAAAAAAACAAACACCAAAAAAACCCACCACAAAAAACCCCACGCACCCCCCGCCAAGATGGGGGGGGGGGGGGGAAGAAAAAAGAAAAACAAATCGGACAGGTGATTTCCTTTGCCATCGCTCTGGTGACTTTCTTTTTTATGTAACTGCATGTAGCGTGGAACCAACTTTTTTGGTGAAAAATATTTATTGCTTTGTAGACAATAAGGTATAAAAAAAGAAGAAGAAAATACCCCAAAAACCGACCCCCCAACCGTTGTTGAAGTTGCTAGTGTAGTCCACTGCGGTCGTCATGGCTTCGTTACTGTTGCAGCGTTTGTGTCTAGCGTCTTTGATAGATTTCAAGAAACCTCAGTCTAATAAACACGTATCTTCAGGTTTGTGAGAGCGTATGATGATGTTCTTTATAAGGTAATGCTTGATACTTTGTCAACATTTTTTATTTGTGTTTTTGTGTGACTTTTTTTTGGCTTTAAATTGTACAACATCGACTTAAGAAAATAAAATCGATTTGAAATTGTTAGCGGCCTGTTTTCAGTGCTTTATAATGCCAGCTAGCGCAGCGTCCGAGCAAGGTGCCTGGTGGTTGCTTCTACCGGCCTTGACTTCCAGGTGAAAAAGCGCCGTTACCCCCTTTCCGCGGCGGGTGAAGCCCGGGGCGCAGCAAGCCGCGCTGCCCGAAGCCGCGCGGGGAGCCTTTGAAGTGGGAAAAGTCGCAGCCGGTTTCTGGGTGTAGCTGCAATCGCTGCTTCGGCCGTCCGTATGAGCGGGCTGCGCGCTCCTCCTGCTACGGTCAGGAACTCCGCCGCGGGTTGATAGCAGAGCCCTTCCCGCCCCGTTACATTTCGTCCGCGTGTCGGTATTTGCAGGATCGGCCTGTCGGAGCCCAGGGTGACGCACGCCGGGGCAGGGGTGTCCGATGGCCGTATGGAAGGGGGAGGGCCGAGTGTAAGTTCGTGGCGGTGTTTTTATGAGACCTAATAATTACGCATTATTTTAAACTCTAGCTTTTTTTTCTTAATCAGTAGAGTCAGGAGCTTGTTGCTGTACAAGAGAGGTACTTGAAGTGGGACTATAGTGGTAAGATCTGGGTATTTTTAATTAAGAGGAAATATTTTTCCCGCCGCGTTTGTGCTCGTTGCAGTTTGTTGTTTGACCAGCATGGCACGTGGCTTCGTTTTCTCTTGCCCACCTAGCTGTGCAAAATCCACTGACCGTGGCAAGAAGTACGACGAGGGTGCTGTGAGCGTCGGCCCTGACCCGGGGTGCAGGACAGGCAGTTGTAACCCCTGCCCTGTCTGACTCGGAACGTTCTACGACGAAAAGCTAAGCTCTGCCTCCGGGACGTGAGAGAGGTCCCGAATTAAGTAGTCCAGTCCTTCCGCTCTTACAGAAACTTAAGCAACGGAGGGGTAAACTTTCAGGAGCCGAATGCCGTAATTCCACCAAACGTTGCCCAAAACTCTGCTCGCTGGGCCGCGCCTGGTGGTGGTGGCCGGGAGCATCCCTGGGGAGAGTCCTGCCCACCAGCCCCTGCGTGACGCGGCATCGCCCCACGCAGTTACCGGACCGCACTGGTTTTCCTGTAAGAAAAGACCCTATTTCAAAATCTTAATTTACCGTGAGCTGGAATTGGTTTCTCTTGCTCATCCCTATTTATAACTTCTGTTTCCTGCCCCTGCCTCTCCCACCACAGGGAGCTGGACGCCACGTGTTCGCTCCGTGAGAACGGTCCTGCCTGGAAACGCCGGGCTCGGGCCACTCGTCATTTACGCAGACTCCGGCGCAGGGAGAGTCGATTCCGCTTCCCCGCGGAGTTGCCCCACGCTGCAGCGGCGCCGGTCAGCGTTGGGGACGACGCCGGGAAGCTGCGCTTCGCGGTGGTGAACGCATCGCGGTGGTGCAACCCGGGCAAGACCCTACGGCAGCCCCTGGAAAGGTAGTCAGAGCTGAATAAATACAAGTGCTGGCGTTGCTTGAAGTCTGACAGCTCGGCACGCTTGGACCTTTGTTTTTTGGGGTTTTGGTGGGGTTTTCTGTTTGGTTTTTTAACGTGAAAAGCCCCCTTTTGTGGAAAAAAACCTTGTGCGTGTTTCTTCCCTGCGGCGTGGGCCTGTGGTAACGAATACATATAGACAAGTTTCCGACGCGGAGGGTAAGGGAGGGGGGGTCTTCCGAAGCTGCCTGTGAAGAAGTTTAAAGGTTCAGGTGGAAAACCTATAGCCAAATGACAGATGGAGCACTGCGTGTCGCACGCCCGAGTGGACAGAGAATACTCTGCTGAATCCATGGGACTCCTTCACAGGCAGCAGAGCACAGGGGGAAGGCGCTAGCTGGGGAGACTGAAACAACTGAAATAAACAGTCTCTTCTAAAAGCACCAAACCGTGGGGCCTGAACAGCTTAAAAGCACCAGTGAAAATTGCACAACTCTCTAGATCTTGACTGTGATGTTACGCTGCTGTCGATTCTAGGAGAAAACAAACCCGAGCGGTTCTTCCAGGGCATCTGGCTTCGTTCCCGCATTTTATATTTAATTGTCGGTAAGTACGTCAGCAAAAACATGCTCACTCAACTCCAAAAGATCAGAGGTGGCTCCGTGACATCAAGGAAGTAGAAGTGGGTGGGTGCGTGTTGAACCATGGCGATACAAAGATCAAGTATTCCGCTTCTAGTTACCAGCCCTGTTAAGGCTTTATTTCACGAGGAGTTAACTCCTTCACGGCATGTTTTAGCTCTGCGGGCGGTGTTCAACTTGACGCCGCCTTCTCCGCCTGCAGCGGCGCGTCGTGGCTGCTCTCGCAGCACGCTGCTGGGTGCTGGCTGACGGCCCCGCTCACCTGAGCGGGGTGAGCAGCCGTGGAAGTCGGTAAGGGCTGGAGGGTTCTTGCTGAAGGAGGGGAAGGGCTGTGTGGCAGGGAGGCAACGTGCTACCGAAGCTCTGCAGGGCAGGAGCTAATGCTCTCCAGACAAACCCTCGCAGCTGGATTTATTTAGATTTATTGCCATAAATGTAGCGGTGATGATGGGCACCATTCCCTGGATGAGGAATGGCGTGTAGTGCGGGGATACAAACGTCCCCGGGACACTTCTGTTCTAAACTCCGCATTTTTAGGGACAATAGAGTCAGAACCGCCCGCCCCCCACCCCCGCCGGGAGCTGAAACCCGGCAGGGGATTTGGACACTTTCAGAAAACATGTTAAATAACGTATTTCTAAGAAGGAGGTTAAGCAAGTAACGTCAAACACAGGTTTCTTCCCTTACTGCGGACAGGGGGTAACCGCGTATCCGAATGTTCGTGGTTGTCCTTCGTGCGCCCTCACTGAGGTGCAGATGCTGCCATTAGAGATCCCTTGGAGCCGGACCCAGCCACCCCTCCCGTCGTTAAACGTGCCTGGCTCCGTCCGCAGTACGGTTCAGGTCCAAAGCCCTGGTGCAGGAAGAGTCAGCTCCCAAAAAAGTCATTCCCAAGCCTGCAGGGCACGAGGCAACGCGCCGCAGACCTACGGCAACGTGGGGTTCGTGGCTTCAGCTTCGTCTCAGCATCTGCTCTCTGCGAGTATTTGCTTACGTTGGCAGAGGGACCGTTAATACGCTGTGGCGGGGAATCACAAGTCTGCCAGGGTTCCTGCTGCAGGTAATCTTGAAACACAAGTGGATTGTTGCTAAACTTCTCCCAATTTAGATCTTGTTTTAGGCAGTCACGTCACTTCCAAGTGGGAACACGCCGGCCCGTGTCACACCAGGAGCACCTGGTGGAGGAAGAACACCCGGCTTGCTCTGGAACAGGAATACTCCCCGCAGCTGGAAGAGTTTCCAGTGTTTTCCCCTTGTATTCTTCTGTGTGCTTATTTCCAGCTAGGGCCCCGACACACAACCGCTGGGGAGCTGCAGGCCAAGGTACTCCTCGCCCCTTGCAGCGCGGCGCGGCGCCGGCTCCCAGCACGGAGGTGAAGAGCTTTTAACTGCGGCGTTTGGTATCCCCCGAACTTCTAGGGCCGTGCAGCAAAGAATATTTGCCCAAACGAGAGAAATGGGTCTCCCGAGATGTGCTTCGGGTTTGCTTTCCCAGCATTGCAACGAAGGTCTTTCCACTGCGAGTCTCGGGGTACGCGCTGACCCTCAGCCCCGACCTCTTTCCCCCGGGACAGAAGGGCGGTGGGTTTCCATCCTCTGCCGGAGTCGTTGCTACAGCTGATGGCTGGGTTTGCTGCGCTCCCCACCCCGGCCCGTCAACTCACTGAAGGGTTTGATCGGGCAGGTTTTTTCTTCCCTTTAACGGAAAACGATTTGAAGAAAGTGCCCTTCAAAACACGGTGTTTCTTCAGAGCTGGTTTTTAATTGATTTAAAAGAAACCGTATTTCCCTGAAAACTGAAAGCAAACCCTCTTGAATTAAATACGTCCTTTTTCGAAGCGGGCCCCGGGGAGGAAGATGAGAAAGTCGGAGGGGCGGCAGTGCCACAGCAAAGAGGGACAGGCTGCTCGGGGGGGCCCGGGCACCCCGTGGGGCCGGCTCTGCCCGCCGGAGGGGTAAAGGCCA